TGGTAATCCCTCTGTGACATCTTGGATCTGGACTCTGGGCAAGTGGCAGACTTCCTGAGACAACAGGTCAGGTTGGCAGATGGATCCCTCTGTCCCCTGCAGAAGGGCATATCCAATGACCACTACCCATTGTTTCTTCTTGGTGGTGGTGATTTTGATCCTTCCCACCTTGAGGAGTTCTGGCCTGTCCTCCTTCACCAATGGAATATGATCCTCCCCCGCTATTGTCCCATATCTATTCTCCAGATGAACAGCTGCAGGTGGAAATTAAAATTTCTGTTTGCTGCCAGAGGTTACAAGCTTCCAGAGTCCATGTTCTCTCCCTTCTCTAGCGCTGCCTCTAGTAATTCTTCCTCCACAGTCCCGGAGGTCTCCTCCAGCATTGAATCGATGAACTCCTCATGGTGGAGGATACTTTGGAGCCTCACCAACACCTCCTGTAGCTCTCCTGCCTTTTCCCTGAGCAACAGCTCCAGAAGTCAACGCTCACATTGCAGGCACTCCCCCACTTGGCCATTAGCTGAAGGAACCTACAAGCCACAGTCCCCACAGTACCAAGCCCGGACCCAGGTGGAAAACTTGGTGGTGAGTGGTCCTGCCTGGACAGAAACCTCATAGGTGCAAGCAGAGGCAGTGGCAGTGACTCTGGCATTGCAACGTCTTCCAGCCATTTTACTGAGTCTCTTAATCTGCCTCTTCTCTCTTACTGCCCTTCTTCCAAGCACACCTCCTCTAGTGAACTCACCTGGAAGATGGCCTGTTTCCTGTTCCTTGGCTCCAAAGTAGGGCTGTCAATTAATTGCTGTTAATATGTGCAATTAATGCATTTATTTGTTTTTGTGTTAATTTTTTTAATGCGCATTAATCGCTGCTAGTGCTGGGAGAAAAGGAGCCCCTCTCCCCTTGCTGGTGCATGCCTTCCTGTGTGCTAGGGGAAAAGTGGCCCCTCTCCTTTTGCTGCTGCTGATACATACACACACACACACACACACACACACACACACCCCGGGAGCAGACTCAGTAGTTGGATGCAGGTAAGTGTATGGGGAGGGATGGGCAGGGGTTGGAGGGTCAGGTCTTAGGAACAGTCTAGGGTTTGTGTACATCCAAAAATATTTATAATAAATTGAGATTCTATTATTGTTTATGTGCATGATTACAATTGTGATTAATCACAACAATTTTTTAAATCTTGAGATTAATTGTGATTTTTTTTAATTGCTTGACAGCCCTACTCCAAAGGGTTCCTTTTTCTTGCTTTCTCACACCAACCTGAAAGGCTGTCCCCTGAAAGGCATGGGGTGGGGCAGCAAGCTGACTAGTGAACTGCCTGCAAACTGCTTGCCCTGTTCGCTGCCTCTCTGGTTGCTTGGGGAGTCTCCTTTTATACCCTCCTGGGCCAGACTGGCTCCACCCCCTTGTTAGGGTTTCTGTCAGTCACAGGCAGCAATCACTTGACAATCAGCAATCACTCAGCTAGCAACACTCCCAGCTTCTCAGAGCACATACTCTAAATACATACACAGCCCACCAAACAACACTCGGCACGCCAAAGGCACAGGCAGCTCCAGATCATTTACTTTCCCTGGGCAGGATCTGGTGCTTGGTGCCTGGCTTCTCTTCCCTTTCCCCTTCCCCTTCCTCTTCCCCGTTTTGCTCCCAGCAAACTGCCTGAAAGCTGCTTGCCCCATTTGCCGCTCCTGTGTGCTGGATTTAGTCTTAAATAAACCATATTTTGTACTGAAAGGTACCATCCTGCTGTGTAAAGTACTTGGTCTGGTCAAGTGATTCTCACGCAGGATGCTGTGGAACCCCAGGGGGCTGTGGAATCCTTTTAAGGGTGTCATGAGACATTTCTCAATATTAGCACTGTTAGCTGTGGAAACATATGACCCACAAGATAAACCCAGAGATTTCAAATAGGAATCCATGGTGTCAAAATCATTCTGACCTTTTTCAGTAAAAAATGAATGAAAGCTAAGAGCTCGTACTCTATGTTTAAGGACAGACAGTCAAAAAGCCCAAGGCTGAATAAATTCAATCTTTGCAGTTTATTCTAAGCTGTGTAGATTGAACCAATAATTAAGTGAACAGGCATTCACTTTTGGTTCCAGAAATGCAGCCACATACCTGCAGTGGTCCAGATCAGAAGCCGGGGGATGCTGGAGCACACCTCTCTGCTCTATTGGAGCAGACAGCTTGGGCCAAGGCTAGCCTGCTATTCTGTGGGGGAGGGACGGTGAGGGGGGTTTGCGGGCAAAGAACAAAGCATCCTGGGATGCTGGGGGACTGTGAGTTAACTTGAACCTGGAGGAGATATGGGACAGAGGTTCAATAAATGGATTTAATCTAAACCAGTTAAGTCTGATACTATAACCTTCCAGGTTTAACTTAAACTGGTTTCAGCCATTTTGAAAGCAGTTTATATGCACTGAACTTCTGTTGTGTTACAGATTTGAACAGTTTCTGATCACTTATTCCAATTTATGTGTAATTTATTTCCCTGGTCTATAAGGGATGCCTTGGGTCTGACAAAGGATACCTTGAGTCTAATGTGGGAGGGGAGCCTTGATTCCAAACAGATTGAGAACCACTAGTGTAAGTGTATAGCCATTTGTAAGAGTCAGATTTGATCATTTTATCATTTCTTTTAAACAGTACTGATTTAAAAAGAAATATAGTATACTGAAACTCAGAATGTGTTCATTCTAATATTATAAAACTCTTAATCTTTCTGTCCGTAACACTTTATTTGCGCTGTCATTGGCTGACAAACAGCCACTCAGAGTGCAAAGAAGCATTTGGACAGGCAGCAACGCACTGCCATGATGGCAGGGACACAGGGGACGGAGCTGGGGGGCAAGGTCAGTGCAACTGGCCTTGCCCCCTCGCACTGCTCCCTGGAGGTGACGGCAATGGAGTGGACGGAATGGGGCGGGGGGGCAAAGTCTTGCCCTCAGAGCTGGCCTCACCCCCCCCCCCCCCCCTTGGGGGGGGCGGCGGTGGGCAACCGC